GTTGCTGTGTCAGGCCTCCAGCTTGGTAGATCTGCTAGGAAGTGAATTTGTAATTACAGAACTGGCCTACAGATAACTCCCAGTGCCAGAAGTGTCATATCTAAGAAGCCACGTGCTGAATTTCACCAGCTTCCAAAGCAGTTTTTAGATGTAGATAGGCTATTTAGCTGAGTAATGATATTCTGTTGCTTGTGGCAAATACATGCAAATAGCTATTTGTTTTAGACTTGAATTTTTGCCACTTGTGCATGGATGATGAATTATGAAAGTTCATCTCTGTGATGTTTAGAAAGCAGTTCAAGGATTCTTAATCGTTGTGACGTCAGCTGTGTAATTCTGAGACTTCAGGGATCTTTGGTTCATCCTCCTGCCTGAGGAACAGCTGGCATGGAATTCAGAGCAGGTTGCTCAGGGCTTTTGGGTTTCTTCATTTGGGTTTCACAGATCTCCAAAATATGGTGATGAAATCTCGAGTGACCATCATGATGGTGAAATTATTACCTCTGGCAGGTTAGGGCACCTTTCCCTTTATGTTGTGACCATTTCTCTTCTCCTGCTGTACACCTGCATGAAGAACCTGACTTTCCTCTTGGTAACTTATTTTCTATGTGGCAGGCTGATATCAGACCCCACTGAAACCATCTCTGCAGCACCAACAGCCTTGCCTGAGGATGATTTCCCAGAAGTAGAGAGATTTGTGTCTTCAGTTTATCCCCCCAGTGAAGACGATGTTATTCCTTTTCCATATAACACTGTTCTGGCTCTGGAGGAGCTTAATGAACATGCAGACTGTGGGCTACCAACAGAGAATGAAATGATCAGTTCTGGAAAGTTTGGGTCAACAATGAAGTAAAACAGCACAGTAACATCAAGAAACTAAAGAGTGGGTATAGGAGAAGCCATATAATGCAAAGAATAATACTGTAGCTTACAGCTGCAGCTAACAAGCTCTGCTAGGCATAAAGGTTCCCCTAACATAGATCTTAACGAATACAGTATGAATTTGGTTCTGTTTATCTGACTTTATGGGGTTTCAAGCTTGACTCTGCTGTACAGCCTTCTCTTGCAGGGTATGTGCTTCAGCTCCCTCACCATTTTGGTGGCTCTGTGCCAGACTTGCTCAAGTTTATCAACATTTGTCATCTGTTTGAGGCCCCAAACTGAATCTCGCATCCAGATGTGGTGTAATGAGTAGAGGAGAGTAGTTAAGTAATAAAGAGGTTTTAGCATGGATTTTGCAAATAGAAAAGACGTATAGAATGTTGTGGTACTTGCTCAATCTTGACTCATTGCAACAGTAGATAGCCCAGTGTAATATTTATTCTTAACAGACTTCAAATTTGTGGTTTAAGATTAGAAATACAAGATGACACCAAGTTGAGTGGTGCAGTTGATAAGAAAAAAGAAAGGATGTCATCCAAAGGGACCTGACCAAGCTTGAAAGGTGGATCTTTGTAAACCTGAGGTTCAACAAGGTCAAGTGCAAGGTGCTGCACTTGGGTCTGGGCAATCCCAGATGTAAGTACTGACTGGTAGAAGAGCTCATTGAGAGCAGCCCTTAGGAGAAGGACTTGAGGGTTCTGGTGGGGAACAGCTGGACATGAGCCAGCAGTGTGTGCTTGCAGCCTGGAAGGTCGACAGTACCCTGAGCTGAGTCAGCAGAGGGGTGGCAGCAGGCAGGGGGGATTTACCCTCTGCTCTGCCCTCATGAGGCTCCATCTGGCTGGAATGCTGCATCCAGGTCTGGAGCCTCCTGCACAAGAAAGATGTGGATCTGTTGGAGAGGGTCTGGAGGAGAGCATAAGGATACTCAGAGGGCAGGAGCTACTCTGCTATGGAGAAAGGCTGAGGAAGCTGGGGATGTTCACCCTGGAGAAGAGGGGGCTCTTGAAAAGAGCTTCTGAACAGGAGGAAAGTGACTTTTTACATGGTCTAATAGTGATAGGACAAGCTGGAATGGTTTTCAGCTAAAAGAGGGGGGATTTAGGTTAAATATCAGGGCTGTGAGATGCTGACACTGTTGCCCAGATGGGTGCTTCATCCCTGGAGGTGCTCAGGGCCATGGATGGGTCCTGGGGAGCCTGGTCTAGAGCTCGATCTGGCTGTTGGCAGCCAGCCCACAGCAGGATTTGGAGCTGTATCATCTTTGATGTCCCTTCCGACCCAAGCCAGTCTGATTCTATGAAATATGACCATCCTTTAAATACAGCTCTCCTCTAGGCAGAATAAATTGTAATGTTTTATAGCATTGGTCTTAATCACAAAGAGGAGTTTGTCAAAAACAGTTCTGCATGAGGTGACCCTGAATGAGTTTGCCAGCTGATGGACCACAGAAAACAGGTAGGGAATAAATGAGGCAGCAGGGAGCCCTGGTCAGGGTGTTGAAATACTTGAGCTGTTCTCCTGTAAGGACGTGACGTAGCAGCCTCATGTTATGTTACATGGAGAATTTCTCTTCAGTCGGCTCTTTAGAATTATGAAAACACCTGATCTGTGCAGGAGAGCAGGAGCTGAAGTTGATTTGCTGGTAGGCTCTTAATTGTTTCTCTCCAAACAAGGCAGTAGGGTGATACACTGCTGTATGGTGCTGCTGGCCCAGCAGAAACGTTTTGCGGTGCGTGACCAGTATGGTGTAGCCTGCAGACTAACTCTTAATTGGGTTTACATTATATTTAAACCCTGGTGATGTGTCAGGTGCATTTAGTGGCTAAGAATGTTGCTTTTGGTAGCAACTGTGCAAGCTGTGGCAGTGGCAGAGGCTCCATGAAGTGCTGGAAGTGACATGGCTCCTGCTTGCCCAGCCTCTTCTTCCCATGTGAGCAAAGCAGCCAAGTGAAATGTAAAATGCATTAATCACCATTTCCCTTCCCAGCAAGTGGGGGAGAAAAAGAGAAGAGAGAAGAGAAAGAGACATGGCAGCTTCAAGGCACAGGCTTGTGCTCGCAGGTCTGTGAAAACTGAGGTTGTGAAATGGTCATGAATAGTTCTTGTGGCACAGCCGTGTCAAACATCTTTGTGTGGTTTTGGCCCATTTGCAGGTAAGGGGGCAGACCCACAGTGCAGAATAAAGGGTGTGATCAGGGCAGTGAGAGCTGTTTGTAAAGAACTGATCTGTTGTTTTGTATAGATAAGGGATAATTCAAGAAGGAATCTTGGAATGAGACCAGAGTTTATAAGGTAAACAACAAAGTTGATTGTGGGGAGGCTGCGTTCTAGCTGTCACAGCTCTTGGAAGCTCTTTTCTGTGATAGCTTGCACTATCCATCTCAGTGGCTAAGCAGCCTCTTCAGAGCACTATGGATGAGAAGCTGTAGAATGATTCTGGCTTCTCAGCAGTTCATCTCCTCCGGCTTCCTGGGAGCTTCACTCTGTGTTAGGGAGGAGCTTTTCTGGAGGGCTGCTCTTCACAGCACCCTCGGTTTTTTTCAGGTTCTCACTGTTTCAGTATCACATACAGTTTGGAAACTGTCCCCTGCTCTTCAGCAGCTGCTTATGAGGGGTATCCACTGCTGCTTCTGGTAGCTGCATATGTTTGCAAACATAGCTGCATATGAGTGCAAACTCATGTTTGCACTTGAGTGTTTTCATTGCCATTATTGCTGTTCAATGCAGCCTTTCTCCCTTTTTCTAAATGTTCACCCTCCAAATCTTTCTTCCTCTTGTTTTTTTGAACACTGTTGCTCCTATCTTTGATGGGATTCCCAAGGCCTTCATTACTTGCCTTCATTTATGCTTCTGCAGAAAGACCTCTCCACATTTCCCACCTCTCATACTTTTTATTTCTGTGCCTCTTTTAAGATACATTTCTTTTGTTTTTCATCTTTTTTGAGCTGTGGGTCTGTTCCTCTTTCCTGGAGCTGTTCACCAGCTGTTCACCTGGGTTTGCAATGTAGGAAACTCTTGATAAAGAGTTTGTGGTGGGGTCTTTATCCCTTTGCAGCTTCCTTAGGATGGAAAGACTGAAGCCTTCAGGACCTCAAATATTTAAGTCTTGGGTTGAACTCTACATGGATGTGATTTGCAGAAAAGCTTTTCTTTTAGTGATAATACAGTAGGTGATACTGCGGATTTCTGCAAGCCTTTTCCTAAATGTCTGACTGTTGTTGGTTTTGTTTGTGTGCAGAGAAAGAAGGTTTAGCACAAGATATTCCTTGGTGACCCTTGGTTTAGTACATGCTGGCTTTGTTCGTGCTGATTTCAGGATTTCTTTCCACTAATCTTGAGGTTACTGAAGCCCTGTGTGGAGTAATGTTTAATGGTGTGGCCCTATAGCTGTAAAACCATAAAATGTGCTAAGTGACTCTTGTTCCCAGAAGGTGCTCTGGCTGCCTCTCTGTGTTTTAGAAGGGCTGACTGCATTGACATGAAGACTATTAAACTAACAACTAATGTCTCTAACAATTTGTCTTACATAACAATTTCTTTCAGGAACTCTCTTCCAAAAACTAGATGTAGTGCCATAGGGTGTGGGGTTTTTATTTCTAGTAGGAAGCATTCTTTTTATAGTATTTGAAATATTTTTTCTAATTCCCTGTTGTTTTGAGCTAATTAAGCCAACTGTACTAATTCCAGAGGAAGCAGAAATGTCACTGTTACCAGGACTGATTTAAATACATCCATATCCATTCATTTCTAATTGCTAATAGTTAAATATCAGGATGTGATTTTTGTCGTCTTAAAACTTGTAAGAAAGGTATGAAGCTGAATTGAACTCCAGTTGCATAGCAGGCATGGAAAGAAAATGTTTTCTTTTTTGAAGCTTTGGATAAAATGTCTGAAATGCTGCATACATTTTTAAAGATCACTGTGTCAGCTCTCCTCCTCTCTAAGCCCAGTGGAAACACGGCTGGTTTCTAGGTACACCCCAACACTTTTTTGTCTGCTAGAAGCACAATTACGTGCATATAGGCCTTGTAAGAACTTATTTTTACACCTGGAATCGGTCTTGTCTCTCACACCATCAGAAACATGTATATATGCAGTAATTCTTAATTTTACAGCATCAACTACCAATGCCAGTCCAGTCTCTACATCCTCAACTGTTGTCAATATTTCCACGTCAGCAGTAGCCAGCATCTCACAGGTAAAATTTCCTCCTTGTTATATTTATGTGCAGCATCTTGTTCACTTCTGTTTAACACGTTATTCGAAACAAACATAAGAAGGCAAAATATTTGCATCGCTTTAAATGAAATGCAGTGAGTATTAAAGTTGCAGGCTTCTGTTTGTAACTCAAAGTCAGCAAAACTACCTTTGCTGCATCTTCGACCACACTGTTGATCCCTCTGGCCTTTGCAGCTAATTTACTTGAGCTGTTATAGCTGTTCCCTTATGTGCTGTTTGTGTGGGAGCCTTAAGCACAGCACTGAGATCCTCCATGAGAGACACTGGAGAAGAAGCAAAAGAACGATTATTAGAACCAAACTAAGGGAGGATTATGTTTGGACATCTTTTGAATGCCTTTGTTCTCCCACAGCAAGAGAAGGAAAATAGATTGTGCACAAATAAGCAAAAAAGTGAGCGGGATAAACATTCTGATACTTAAAGTCAAACAAAATTAAGAAGCTGTGAAGCTGACACAGAGCCCTTCCCTCTTACACCATGACCTGCTGTAAGAGGTAGCACTGTGTTCTCCATCCAGTCAGCAGTTAACTGGCATCCTGAATATTTGGGTGTGATGAATGAACCCTTCAGCTTTGCAGACTGAGGATATAAGAGCTGTGGGAAATCCAAGGGCCGAAGCAAAACACTTGCATGCTTACAGTGCTACTTTTTAGGATTCTTTCATTATCAGGAATTTGCTTGGAACTTTAAGGAAAAGGCTTTCCTGGGTGGTGATGCAGACTGATGTAAGTTCACAAATCCAGAATGTTCCTTCAGGGAACTGGGAATGCACAGTGTGCCAGAGGAGAGTGGCATGGCTTTTGGAGGTGGCTGTTTTGTTGACATCAGTAGCAGAAATGAAAATCCTCAGGTATAGCTTGAGTTCAGGTGCCCTGACTGATTTCATTGACCACATTGCTTCCTGATGTAAGGACATGAATAAAGGCACTTAACCTCTTTTGGATCGAGTTGCATGCTGACCCAGTGCCAAGGCTGATCTGTCACTGTCATTACATCTCGTATCAGCAAGTAAATCACAAGACAAAGCAACCAATTCTAGAAGACAGACAGAGTGGACTTGGTGCTCCCCTGTAACTGTCACATCATTCACATAAATCTATTTTTGAAGAAACTGAAGGCAGAGGAAGGGCCCTGTGTTTTCTGGCCTTCTGTGAGCAGAACCTACCTGCTGTGTAGCCATTGGGAAGTTGTATCTCTCAATCCTTTGGGGGGATTTCCTACATGTTCAGAAGGAAATAACATGAAGTCAGCCTGTGCTCTTGCTGACGTTTCTCTTTGACAAACATCACTTAGTATAAAAGTCATCATAGATAACGCTGTCTGAAAGGAGTACCCTATAGTAACTGATCCTTTCCTCTCATAGGAATATCCTACGTACACAATCCTTGGCCAGAGTCAGTACCAGACGTGTTACCCAAGTTCTGGCTTTGGAGTCATAACACCAGCAGACAGCAACGCGGAGAGTTCTGCATTAGCGACAGCTACGTATCCATCTGACAAAGCAAACGCCATGGTGCCTACACGGACAGTGCAGAGACATTCCTCTGGTAATGGCTGCATCTTTAACGGGGTGGCTGTAAGGTATCTGTTATAAACAGTGCAGGATACAGACGTGGAGAAAACTTGATTCCGGAATGTAAATGCAGCACCTTTGTGTTCTGACCTGGACGGGACGCTTGTTTTCCATTGTCACGCTTGCCTCACTCGTGGGCAGTCTGTATGGTGGAACAGCCAGACTTGTATATTGGAAGTCTGACACTGCTGTGATTCAGGAGACACAAACCATGTGTTCAGAGTGCTGTAGAGAGAGGGGGTTCCAAGGGTGACTGGCAGAAGGGCTGACAGCAGCTCCATGGGTGTGTTGCCTCCTGTCATGTGTCAGGGCTCAGGCTAGATATGCTCTGTCAGTGGATGCCAGAAAGACAGCTGCTGCCAAGAAGTGCTCCTTCCAATGTAACTGCCCACGCCACGGAACTCCAGGAATTTTACCAGACTTACTGTGTGGGTTTCACACTTTGCTTTCAGTTTCTACAAACACAGTTACATCCTGTGCACTCCTTGGTGATGTGTCCCTTTGCACACTGTGAGCATGCCTTTCTTAATTCTCTCTCCTTTCTAGTGGTAGATCCTGACTATTCAGAGATGCCTTCTCCATCCTCCCAGAGTCCATCAGTAGTACCTGATCACTCCCAAGTTCTCAAATTCATGGCATGATGGAAATCAAGGATAGCTGGCTGCCAGTGAGCAAGGCATACACATCAGTGGTCTTGAACTTGCCAGTGTTTAAAACTGCTCTTTTGTTTATGGAATGCTCTAGAAGGTGGTGGCAAACAGCACACTGTGATGTTGGAAATCAAGAGGCATTGTTCTCCAAGTGTTTTGCCTCTTTCAAGAGTATTTGTCCTCTATTTGGGGTGAACAACAGGAGACCTACTCTCCTGAATTTATTTTAATTTGATTGTGACCTCTTATTTCAAGGCACTGACCAGGGAATGGTCGTTAACATTCTCAGTGACATTTTCTAAGTTTAGGAGCACTTTTGAGTTGACCATTCCACATGAATTTTCATAAGAATTGCTCAATTTTCATGAATTACTTCATGCTCGAGACCCAGGCTGATTTCAAACTCTTTCAGATTGTCTTGTCAGTGGTCAGAAACTGGTCTGGTGACTCTGGGAGAAGACGTGGATGACCCTGTGCCTTTCTGCATTCCTGATAGAGTTCTAGTCCTATTTCTGAAGTAGTCAGACACCTGGGATAGTAAATCTTCTCATTGAACTGTTAGTAAAGGATTCAGAGGGTACCTCCCATTGTGATCATAGTTGTCTGCACATTAAAACACTTAGTTATTTTAGAGTCCTTTCTCTGTGGCAGGAGTTCTTACCAGTTGCAGAATAGGCTCTGTAGTTTATTCATCAGTAATGGCTGCTTGGCCAAGTCTTTGTCTCCAGCACCAAGAACATTCCTGTGATTGATTGATCTGTGGGGGCATGGCAGTGTAGCTGTAGTGTAAGCATATTTGATTTCTAGTTGTCATTCTGTGGGTTTGTGTGTGATGAACATAGTGTAGGTAACTGTACCTGGGCTGTTTCACTGTATTGTGGTGGAACAGGAGGGAGTAGTGTCAGCAGAGGTGAGAACAGCATGTCTCATATAGGATTGCTCCACACAGAAAAGGCATTTGACAAACCTGGGAAATCTAGGATGGACAGACATTACTCAATACTTTCCTTTGTAGTTTCATTCCAGACTAAGAGTTTCTTAGAGTTTCTTCTTTGATACGGTATCAGAAAGTATTAAAATAAGCTATTGAATAATAAAACAGAGGATGAGTGCTGTTTGATTTTTTTTTTCTGCAGGAGATGCATCCACAAGTCCCTCATTGTCAAGAGCAACAGCAAGTAAAGAGTTAGATGAGCAGGCGAGAAAAAATATCCCTGGGAAGAACAGAGGGAAAAGGAAAGCAGACACCCCTTCTTCACAAGACAGTGAACTGGAGGTAAGTGGGGATGTTTTCTACAGGCAGAGTTGTAGAATGGTGTGGTGTTAAATATTCTCCTCTCTTTCTTTCCTTCTGTATGTTTGGAAGTGAAAGGGGATAATCTAGGAAATCCTTATAATTCTTGCTATTGGAGAATTGCCCTAGATTAATTTTTCAGTGGCTCTTGACAGGTTTCACTTAAGCATGTCTTGGAATCACAGTGGTTTCAATGGAGCAGATGTCTGTCTCTCAGGCAGTCTCCTGCTTGGAGCGAGGCCGTCCCCATCACCAGAACAGGGTGACTGGCTCTGTTCAGCCGAGTGTTGAGAATCTCTTAGGTTGGAGATCGTGCACCTACCTAATAATGTGTCCCACCACACCCACCTGCAGAAGATTTTCTTTCTCCAACCAGAATCTCCCATGCTGCAATTTGCCTCCTTCTTTTTTTTCCATTGTAATTTTCCATCCAGCGCTACAGAGGAGAATTTGTCGCTGTCATCTTGGCGGTTCCCCTTTCACATAGCTGTGGGCAGTTAGCAAGTCACTCTTGCTTTGTCTTTAAACCGTCACAGCTCCCTCAGCACTCCTCTAAGCTGGTGACTGTGTTAGCAGCCCTTGGCTGGCTGCTCAGCTGGACAAGCAGAATGGAATTACCTTCCCTCCATCAGCTTGCAGTTCATCTTATCTACAGGTAGAGTGTGCTGCAAGTCATGTTGCACCTGGTGTCCACTGTGCCATCCTGCACTTTGCATCTTGGACCTTTGTGAGGTTACTCTACCATGTATGAAGAATCTGCAATTAGTGAATGTCTTGTAGTTCCTCTTGGCTTAACTTCTGAAGTTTATCAGAGCCCATCTGTACTGAAACTGTTCGTCGTTACAGCCAGTCCTCATTATGTATCTTAACAAAGGTCATTTACCTGGTGCTCTCTACATCACAGGCAGTAAATTTCTACACTAGCAATGCTTTAAAGTTCATTATCAGTTTGGGTTTGTTGTTTTTATTTTTCCTTTTGTAACTATAGAAGCAAGAGAAGCTTAGAAAGAAGTTTGATTAAGAGTCTTACCCTGTGTGTTTGGTTGCACTGTTTCAGCGTATAAACTCCATCATACTAAACTGAAAAAGTAATAACTCATTTAGCCTGTGGGGTGAACACTGTTGTTCATATCTTCAACTAACCACAAAAGGAACCCTAAAGCTTGCTTTATTGTAGGACCATACTGAGAATATCTCAGCTCTAACTTGCTTTTACTCTCTACACAGCGAGTGTTTCTCTGGGACCTGGATGAGACCATCATAATTTTCCATTCACTTCTCACAGGGTCTTATGCTCAAAAATATGGCAAGGTAATACTGTCTCTTATGTGGAAGAAAAATAATCTGTTATTAGTAAAGCAGAAGTAAATGTCAATTTCTGTAAAATTAATAGAAAAATGATATTCTGTTTTAAGTGCATAAAGTGATGCTTCTGACTTGTTGCCAATTTGGTGGGGCGGAAAAGAATTGACATTATTTCCTTTTGTTTTGCCAGGATCCAACTCTGGTAATTGGCTCAGGTCTCTCAATGGAGGAGATGATTTTTGAAGTAGCTGATACTCACCTGTTTTTCAATGACTTGGAGGTACACAGCAAATGTTTTTGTGACACAAAACACTGCAGAGTTTGTGAGGGCAGATGTGCTTCTCATCATGTCAGTACTGAAATGTAATAATCTGCCAAAACTGAACAGGTTCTAAGCATGGCCAAATCAAAGGGGTATTCTTTTTGTCTGAGACAGGGGCATCCTGAACACTTCTGTGTCGTGGGCTTTGCTGGCTCTCATGGGTTCTACTTGTGCCTAAAGCATCAAGAGTGATGCCTGCTTTGTATTACAGTTTCATTCTGAACCAGGAAGCATTTTGCTTTCACTGTTCCTGCTTTGAAATGGAGATGTGGAGAAAGGAGTGACCCATATGGCAGTATCTGTCTAACCCAGAGGCAGAACACAACTTGCAGTCTCAGCCAGCATACCAGTAGGTCACGCTGGTTGTGTAACAGCTGTGAAGGTGTGCTTCCATGCAATAGGTGGCTGTCCACACTGATGTCTTCCCCTCTATTCCCACAACCTTTTTCTGCTGCTCTCCCATTTCTCCTCAAGGGACTTGTGTTCTGCTTCCATTCTCTTTCACACACACCAGTCTTTACCAAATAAAATACATCTCTCTGTTCTGCACCACTTTCACAGAAGTTGAATGTAAATCTTTGCTTTAATCATGGCTGTATCCTATGCTATGATGTATTACTAGGTAGTGGTGAAGAGAATACTGTGAGCTATATGGGGAGGTGTGAAATTATACCGTAGTCTGGAATTGAGTGGTTAGAAATAGATTTCCAGACTGGCAGTGAACTTCCAGTACAACTTGTTTAGTGAACATTGAGTTTTCTTCTTTGCTGACAACACAAAATGTTGTGAAAATTCCTTTTTTTGGACATTTCTGGTCCATCAAATCCCAGTCTTGACAAGGGCCTGTAGGCAGTGTGAAGCGAAACAAAGCTAATGGGAGTGCTGGAGGGCAAAGCGAATGGAAGCCCTGTCTGGGCTCATGGAGGCAGAATGGCTTGGTTTATTGCTGTTGGCAAATGTGAGGAGATTGTTGTATCTCTTTCTCTTTTCCAGTCTGCAAATTTTGGTATCTTTCTGGATTACAACAGCAGCCTTTGATTTTTTTTTCTCTCTCAAACAGGAGTGTGACCAGGTACACATAGAAGATGTGGCATCTGATGATAACGGCCAGGATTTAAGGTGGTATATTGAGGAATGCATGAAATGTAGAACTGATGCAGTCTGGTTTATTTTGTGGGGCTTCAGAAAGGGACCAAACTGTGATGGGGTTAAGGAATGGAGGTCAGCACTGTGCAGGAGCTGAAATTTGGCAGATGGTGTTTATTGGCTGCGTGGTTTTCTGTGGTTGTTTTTCCTCTTGGTTGTTTTTTGGGGGGAGAATAAGAGGGGGGCAGGTTAAGACCTACGAAAGTTTAAGACTTCTGGAATTGCAATGTGAATTATATTGTCTAACTTGAATATTACCTATGTTTTCAGTCATGTGAAATGAGTGGAACTAGCACTCCAAACTTGATGATTTTGGCCTTTGAGTCTGCCTATGTTTTGCACCCCTGTGTGAGCTGATCATATACACACTCAGGCAGAGTGGATCAGTGTTCTGTTGCATTAGCAGAACTGACTTATGGAAAGGTCTGAGAAGTGTCTGTATGTCAGGAAGAAAGAAACTGTGCTGAGATTTATCACTGCAGAACAAGAGGTCTAGTGGGATGAATGTTGATATCAAAGAGAGCAAAGAGCAAAGGAAGGTTTTGTGTTGGAGGGTGAGCAAGAGGGGTTGCATCAATACATTTCAGTACAGCAGCTCAGGACTGGCAGCAGGTGTAGCTGGGTGTTGGTGCACACTGCCCACAGCAGCTGGTCTCTGTCAGAGGTGCAGTGGTCGTTGTGCAAAGTTCTTCATGGTGCTTTTCCAACCCAGCCAGAAAGTTTGTAGGGATTCTGACGCTGTAGCACACATAACAAATCAGTTTTTGTTTAACAGCAACTACAATTTCTCCACGGATGGCTTCAGTGGCTCAGGAAGCAATGCCAATCACAGTTCATCAGTTGGTGTCCAAGGTGGAGTGGACTGGATGAGGAAATTGGCCTTCCGTTACCGCAGGGTACGAGAGATCTACGATAAATACAAAACAAACGTTGGAGGTGAGTGCTGCCCTGCGCCAGGGTGTGGGACACCAGGCAGAGTTAGTGACACCACACTTGGTCTTTCTTGGTGGCAGTTCCATACAGTAGCTTTTCCTAAATGTTTGAATATGAAAAGTAAGCATTCTGAGATCAGGTCTCTGTGGAATCTAAGAGGATGCATCTTTCAAAACTGAGCAGCATTGCAGTGCAGTGACCGAGGTACCGTATAGTAGATAGAGGTCAGTCAATCCTGTATCTAATAGAAAGGTCTGGCTCAGTGTCCCTCTGCTACTTTTGAATGAAAGACTGCCTATTTCTGCACGGAATGGGCCTAAATGACTTCTATATCACTCCACTTAGGAGGCCTTTTCACATGTCTCATAAAGCCATTTACTGTGCCATTGTCAACAAGTTACACGTTCACCCTTTTGGCTGCTGTGCTTACGGTCTGACATGACGTCTCCTGTTGTGAAGTCTGTTCACAAAATCACTTTAAAGATTTCTATTTGTGCTTCCCTTCTGATGCCAAAGCAGTAATAAAGATGCAAACCACGGCTGTATTTCATAGCAAATGTCAGTAAAGTTGTTTAGTTTGAACCTTGGCACTGACATCCTGAGAAATGGAGCAGAACCAGGCGACTTGGCCTGGTGGTTTCAGGTTTGGGTACCCTTAGCCTATGTAAAAGAAACTTGATACAACTTTTTCTTGGACATTCTGAAAAATGGGTGATCACAGCTATTACTTGCAGCCATGAAGGTTATAAGCCTGCATTCCAGTGCTCCACAATTACCTGATTTCTGGTAGGGAGCAGACTTTGTGCATATTTTATGTGTGGGAAACCCAGATGTGGAGTTTTTTCATGTATGTAAGGATACACAGTGGCATCACACAACACCTACTTCTATGTTTTGAGAAATGCATTTTATTGTGTGTGTCCTTAGAGCTGCACAGGGCTCCCTTGTGTCACTGGAAGCTGATTTCCCCTGTTGTCTTGTTACAGTCTCAACTTTGAGTTGACTTCAGTATATTGGCTATGGCAGAACAGGCAGGTGTTAACTGAGCTGTGGCTCTCTTAAACTTAACAACTCAGCTGAGAGAACTGGTGTTGCTTTCCAGGCCTTCTCAGCCCACAGAAGAGGGAAGCTCTGCAGCGACTAAGAACTGATATAGAAGTGTTAACAGATTCTTGGCTGGAAACTGCATTAAAGTCCCTGCTACTCATACAGTCCAGGTATGGAAAGTGGAAACATGTCTGTTCCTTTCTCAGCAATTCTTCTCACTTAGTCCAGTTACAGTAGTGCCAACGTGTAATTGTAGTGCTGCTTGTCACAGAAACTTCACTGCTGAGCACCCTTTGAGACCTTCCTGTGACAACATCCTGTGTTAGGAAGGTCCTTTGAGTAAGACTGTGCTCAGAGAATTGCATTGCTGTGGAAGAATATCTGTTTGAAGTAGATAAGCAAACAGAATTAAAATCTGAGCCTCAGAGAGGCTGGGCAGCAAAGTTGATGGCACCTTTGGAAAGCTGAGCAAGTTGCCCAGAGTGGCCTTCAGCACTACTGGCTGATGATAGGACTTCAAAAGTGCTTTCTTTGTTGTTTTTTCTTTCAGAAAAAACTGTGTGAACATCCTGATCACAACCACCCAACTGGTGCCAGCTCTTGCCAAAGTTCTCCTGTATGGATTGGGCGAGGTGTTTCCCATTGAAAATATTTATAGTGCAACCAAAATAGGTAAGGGGCTGTGCTGGATAGCTGGCACGCGGGTGCTGATTTTTTCTGTGGATTAGCTGGGATTTTAACACAGGAAACACAATTTCTACAGCGGAGCAGCACTTGTGACTGAGGAGATGCTGATGATTGCTAATAGTGATGGCTTCATGTCTTAGAAACTAAACTGGGCATTCTCCCCATCCCAATAAGACAAGAATGTATTTTTGGGACAGCAGGGCTTGTTCAGGTTGGTTCTGCCTAAAGCTCATTACAGTGGGATTGTGTTTTGGCAGGCAAAGAGAGCTGTTTTGAGAGGATTGTGTCACGATTTGGAAAGAAAGTCACCTATGTGGTAATTGGAGATGGGCGTGATGAAGAGGTTGCAGCTAAGCAGGTGGGTTTCTGTGGATGTGGGGCAGTGGGTTGATCAGAGGGAAGCTACAGTAGCAGTCTCTATTTCAGGGACACTTTACAGGGCTTACTTCTTCAGGCCAGGGTCAGTGAGTGGAACACCTTGCCTTTAATGCAGGATCTGTCAGTATTTTAACACAGGAGTTATTTGGCTCTCTGCTTTAAATTTTCTGTTTTTCTCTTGTTTGGGGTTGCAGTTGTGGTATATTTGCAGTCTGTGAGTGTGACTGACCCTGTAACACAGTATTGTGGTGTAGCATGCCTTGATCATAGCATGGATAAAGCAATTTCTCAGAAGCACTGAGGGAGTCGGGACGTGTTGCCAGCAGTCAGCTCAATACACAGCATCGACCATTAAGTGTGAATCACAGATAAGAAGGAACTACCAGTTTGACTGATTCGGACGGGCTATCCACTAGAAATTAAAGGTGCTGAAGAGCACAGATTGCTGTCAGGACAGCGTCTCTCAGGCTCCACACTGTGCCACGTGTCAGAGCTGTTGTCTGCATGGGTTCCCTCGCAGGCCTGGGAAGGCTTTGCTCTGCGGAGCAGCGCCTTGCAGCCCAGCGTGGAGGTTTCCATTGGGACTGTGTGAAGTAGCTGACAGTCAGTGCCTGTCACAGAGAGCTGTGCAGATAAGATAACCTTCAGATACTGCCGTGCTCTGTGGCTGAGATCCTTTCTGAACGTGCTGCCCTCTGTCAGTGCTGTCACAAATGCTATATTGCCCAGCTCTGCAGGTGTACCTTGACTGCTTCCACCCAGCTGTAAAGTCACCCCAATAAAACTGACCTTATCTTCTCATTGCAGCACAACATGCCTTTCTGGAGGATCACAAACCATGCAGACCTTGTGTCCCTTCACCAAGCCCTTGAGTTAGACTTCCTGTAAGAAGCCAGAGCAAAGGTGTGGCTGTGGCTCCTGCAATCTCTCCATCACTGGGGAGGCAAAGATCTCATAAACAACTGGGGACATTTTCAGCTTGATGAAGAAAACATACCTAATGCAAATTGTACAGTAGACTTCAGGTCATTTCCTCAGGAGCACAGACCTGGCCAAGAACAGAGGTGTCCTATGAGAAGCACTAGACTCAGCAGAGCTAGAGCTTGACTGGTGAAGAGACTCATGGAATCCAGCTGAATTCTTCTGGCAGGTAGTCTCCAGAGGGAGGGGGTAACACAGCTGAGAAGGCTCTTACTGATACTTCTGCTTTTCTATTCTGCTTAGTTATAGAAACCCAAGTAAACATAAAACCTTATTTTTATAGAAAAAAACTGATGGCAGAGCTGAACCTCCCTTGTTTTGCAAAGCCAAAAAGAGATATTGGTTGTTTTTTGTTTGTTTTTTTTTCCATGGGAAATATTAATGAAAATGTCAAAAATACCTCTGCTGCTGTGAAAATGTGTCCTCTCTCCTTCTCTGGGTGTTCAAAAGCAGTTAATTTATTATGATATCCTTACATTATTTCTATAACATAGGATTTTTCCCATTCTGGGATAAGTGGTTCGTGGTAGAGGGAGGTGTTGCTGTTGGTTTCTCCCATTGGCTTCTAGGCAGTGTGTGTAGGATGCACATGGCTGAGCCCTGTTAATGAGCAGAGGATCATTGGATTCCAGCTGTCCATATCCCATAGGTCCCGCAGGTTTTTCCTGGATGGGAAAATGAAACTGCCCACAAACCTTACAGAGAGTGCAACACTATTGAAGAGAGTGGTGAGATCTGAACAGAGTCCTCATTTGGACTGGAAGTAATTTGAGAGAGAACTAAATTCTCATGGATGTTACAAAGAAGAATATGGTAACTATCTCTGCCTCTGCTCTTCTGACTCCATTTGTGAGAATGTGTTTCCTTTGGTAGAATCAGATTCAGTTTTCTTGTATTCTTTGCATTAGCCTAACTACATAGTGAACAGCAAAATAAAGTCCTTGGCAGGAGGTACTGAATTCTGTAACACACTGTGACTTGCCAGCCTGGAGCACACTGGCCTTGGAAGTGATGGATACACTGATTTTTTTTTTTATTTTATTTTATTCTTTTGCTACCATCTCAGAAAATAAGTCTGGAGTCAGTGAGCTGCAGTACTGCTGACCAGAAGGGGCAAATGGAAGCTGGGGGCTGCTTTTGTGCCAAGTCAGGCTGCAGGCAGTGGGGTCTGCCCCCCACCTGTGCCCCCTGATGGCACCAAACCAGCAGATGCCTGAGGTTTCTGTACAGAGGATGGATGAATGCTTTGCTGCTGAGCCAAACGCTGCAGCTGCACCCAAACCCTTTCAGATTGTTTCCAGCCCAGCATCACCCAGCTGTGTCCCGTGTCTCAAAGGTGCAGAGTGTGACTTAGGAAGGATGCAGACTGCTCAGGTTGCGCCCACAAGAGCAGGTGATGTTTGCTGCATTCCTATCATGGCATTAATTAGTGAGGAATCATTTCCATCAGTGCTGGGGGGGTGCTGGTGTGGCTCAGCACATGCGTGGATTTGTCCTGTAAGGACTGCTGTGAAGTGTGTCCTGTGCTCTGCTCACCACTGCTGGGGCTGCTGAAGGTACGTGGCTTGGATCCTGGTCTCTGTTTCAGCCCTGGGTTTGGCTGTAAAGATAAATACAAATCAGAGGAGTTTGCCTTTCTCCGAGATGGCCTCAGAGCCATCTGCTTATCCGCCAGCTCAGCACCAGATGCCAACCAAGTGCTTTGATCACAGGCAGACATTCCAGGGCTGCGTATCTCCACAGGAAGCCTCTGCCTCGGGAGTGCAGAGCTGGAGGGGGCAGATGGTGCAGGGCAGTGGTTTGCTGCTGGAGCCATAGAATGGTTGGGGCCGAAGGCACCTCAGAGCCCCCAGCCCCTGCTGTGGGCTGGTTGCCATTCCCCCATCAGCTGCCCAGGGCCTTACCCTGCCTGACCCTGGCACCTCCCATCCTTGGCAGGACTGCTGACTGTCAGGCACACTCCTGTGCTTTACTCCCAGCACAGCATGTGGCCACTGCCTCCTGCAGCCCAGGGTGGGGGTCCAGGGCTGGCAGGCCGTTCTCTTGGCACAGAGCACACTGCAGCCAGCAGGCCCTGCTTTGGCTGTTTACTTTAAAATGTTTTAAGGGAATTTTAGGACAGCAACAGAATTGTAGCTGAGCGCGGACCTATTGCAGCCAGTGGCATTTCATACTGATATTTATATGATGTCTCCTTGAATGTATGTAAAGTACTTTTATAGCAGGAGGTCGGTGGTACGTTTCTGTGTTTGTTTAATAAAGGCTGACCCGGCGATTTTATTATTTTCCTCTGCTGGCTGCTCTTGAGCATTTTCCTGTCTCGCACAGCAGAGGCAGCGCCTTTACCCGACCACTGATTTGCTTCGTGTCTCTTTGCTGTTCCCAACCCGGCTGTAAGCTGAACTGCTGACAAATGCCAAATGGAAGCGGCCTCCTTCTGGCTGCCCACCAGGATCCCACACCACTGACTGCACAGACCCTGGGGTGCCCTCGTCCCGGGGAAGCTCACAGAGCCCCTTCTGTGCTCACATGGGAAGCCCAGGGCTGCCTGCGGTGCAGCCGCTTCTGCGTGCGTTTTGTGTAATGGGAACTGTCCTATGAACTGGAAAAAAAAATAAAGTCTTTTATTTTCTATAGTCACAGTTTCTGCCTGTTGTCCACCAGCGCTGTGGTCCCTCCCCAGCCTCCACTGTGGCTGTGCTGGTTCAGAGCAGCGCTCTCTGCACTGTCATTGCCTGGGCTCTGAGCCTGCTGTGGTGGCCGGGGACAAGGCGCTTTTTGGGTACTGAGGCACACAGCACCTTTTCATATTTCCCTTTTTTCTTCCCTTTTGCACACATCCCTCCTTCCAGCACAGCTGCGTGCTGCAGTGCTGCTGTCCCTTTGCACTGCGCTCACCCTGTGCTGGTGACCCTGGAGATGTGCAGTCTGGGCAGTCCTCCACCAACCCCCGCCGTGCTGTGGCAGTGGGTGGTGCTGCAGCAAAATGTGGCAGGAGCTGCAGTGCCAGCACGGGGTGCCCATGCCACAGCTGCTGCCCCTTCAGCCCCAGAGCAGCTGAGGTGCAGCGTTATGGGCTCAGGCCCTGCTCACAGCAATGAGGGACCCCAATGAGGGAGCCCCCTGCAGAGCCTGGGCTGCTGATGGCGCTCAGCTCAGTGCCACCATGCCAGGACCCCCACCGTCCCACCCCTCCCTGCCCCTCTCTGCGCCACATCTCAGCACTGTGCAGCCTTCAGCCTTAACAGTCAAACAACAGAACTGCAAACAGACATCTGACAGCCACTGCCAAACAGGGAGTGACCAAGGAGGAACGACCTTGGCAGTGGGCACCAGAAGATGCATGGACAACCAGGTGTTGATTTTTTTTTTCCTTTTTTCTTTTTTTTGGAAAAGGTGAATAATAAATAACAAGAATCAACAGTGCCACAGCGCCATGCAGGCCTAGCACCAAGCTCCAAGCCTTCCTGCCCGCATCCCTGCTGTGGCAATGAACTGCCAAAACTGCAGCCTGGCGCACACAATAGAAAGAACCAAACAGAACCTCCCCAACAACTCAAACCACTCGGATAAGGCACAATTCCATCTCAAGGAGTGCAGGACTCAGACAGCAGCTGTCCCATTCAGCAGGTGCGGCTCTGCCAGCACAGACAGCGGGAAGTGGCTCCGTGCGAGGCACCGCAGCCTGGAGTTCACCAGGACCGGCTCTGAAACACTGCGGAGCTCACAAGGCTCTGAAATGCTGCGGAACTCCACGGCCCCATCAGCCCTTCCATTGGCATCCACCTCGTCACCGCCGCTCTGTAGCTGTGCTCGCACATTGGGGTGCAGCCACCCGTAGTAGGTGACGCGCAGCAGCAGCCCCAGGAGGTAGCAGGGCAGCGCAGCCCACAGCGCCAGGATGAGCAATGGGTGCTGCTCCTCAGGGGGACGGTCCCAGAGCCAGGCCAGGGTCAGCAGCGTGCTGTCCACCAGGATGAAGCTGTGATAGATGACGCTGCGGTGCAGGGTCCTCCCTGGGGCCACGTTGAACCAGCTGAAGTAGAGGATGACGGCCACCATGGCGCGGTAGAGCTGCTCGGGGCCTGGAGACTCCATGAAATCGGTGCCCTGCAGGCTGACCCAGAGAAACATTGCCAGCCACACCAGTGGGAAGTGCACGGCCACACCGTAGGGCCACAGCAGGGCAAAGAGGGCGAGCGCCAGGATGCGGGGGCAGAGGAGGAAGAGGTTCCATAGGAAGTAGATGACGGAGGAGCCCCAGCCCATCTCGTACTTGTCCTGCAGGAAGGAGCGCAGGGACTGGTGGTAGTCCAGCAGGGACCAGGTCACACACAGGAACGCCGTGCAGATTCCCATTCCTGCAACAGAGCAGCAGCCATGGAGAATGCAGACCAAGCTGGGGCTGTTCCTGCTCCAAACAGCCCCCAACACCTCTGAAAGGAGCCTCCCATCAGCAAAGCAGCGGCTTTGGGGCATCAGCATCATGAGCATCAGCTCCATTTCTCCTCCCCTCACTTCCCACTTCCTGCCTTTCCCGAGCAGCAGCTGGTGCCGCTCTCAGGGGAGCTCACACTTTGCCCAAGGACAGAACAGTGTCCCCCCACTTCAGTTCCCTGCAGGCCCAGCATAGCCCGTAGGGGCCCACGGGGCTGGGACAGCACAGCGCCAAAGGGAAGGCGGTGGAAGCGCAGCAGCAGCAGAGCAGAGCAGCAGAGCCCCGACCTCCCAACCCGACCCCCCATCCCGGCCCGCACCCTGGGAAGGCTCAGCCTTGTTGCTGCGCAGGACGCTGTAGAGGAGCAGCGCGAGCTGCGGGGCGTTCTCCAGGAAGGTCTCGAAGAGACGCAACATGCTGATGTCGTGGGTCAGGAACGCCATGTGATTCCTCTCCTCCTCCGTCGCCTCCGTCCGGCACAGCCTCCAGCCCAGCCGCAGCGCTCGGACGCACCTGGCCGGAGCACGGCGCGATCAGCGGCGAACGCAGCGCTCCGGGACCGCTGCTCCGCTCCGCCGCAGCCGGGGACGCGGCGGAAGAGCGGGGCCGCAGCCCGAGGGAGGAACGCCGCGATTCGGGAGAGCCGTACCTGTACAAGAAGCCGAGCTGCAGGAGGTGCAGAGCGGCGAGGAGGCGGCGGGACGGCTCGGGGCGCAGCGCCGGCGGATCGGAGCGGAACCACAGCCAGCTGCAGGCCTGCCGGGCGGCGCAGCCCGCGGCCCACAGCCCCAAACCCAGCGCCGCGCAGCCCGGCCGCCCCGCGCGCGCGTGTCCTACCGCCACCCACACGTCCGCTCCCGCGTCCCACACCGCCGCCGCCGCGCCCCCCGCCGCCAGCAGCCACTGCCAAGGCCCGAAACGCGCCGGGCTCCGCACCGCCATCCCGGGGCGCGCCGCCCCGCCCGGCCTCGAGAGCCGCCCCGCCCCTCAGCTCCGCTCCCCGCCCCGCCTTTGGGTTCCCGGTTCCCCATTGAAAGAAAAAAGGCCATCCTCGGCAGAGCCGGCGGTGCTTCCCAGCGGTTTTTTTTGTTTTTTTTTCTCCATGATTTTTAGATCATTCCATACGCAGTGGCTCATTTCCAGATCCCGGCACCCTTTCCCGTGCAAGCAGTGCTTACCCCGAGCACAGCCGAGGAGCGCAGGCGCTGCTCCTGTGATCCCCCCGAGCCGTGCCAGGGGCAAATGCCACCAACCCCTGCAAAGCTGCAGCTCTGCACAAGGCTGCGCCTCCCCTGGCCGTGCTTCCCCTCTGACACAACACACTGTTCCACTGCTTCTCTGGAGCTGCCTCCAAACAACTGCTTACAGACAGCACAAGGATTTCTGCACTGTCTCATCCACTCGTCCCCAAGGGCCCTACAGTGTCACTTTTCTTTGGTTCACGTGTGGTTTTTGTATGAGCAGACAGAAGGCTGGCGAGGCACGGAGAGCTTCTTTGCAGTTTGCACAGCTAAAGAAAAAGCAAATATGAGTTAAAAGAACACAAAAGGTGCTTGGGGAGAAAGCCGTCTGTGTTCAGCATCTGAAAAAAAACCATGAAGCTTCTCACCCTGCTGCCTCACTGTGGATGCTGACACGTGAAAGTCACGGCCCAAACTGTCCAAGAAAGTTCTGACACTGCCTGGCTTTGCTCACACACCAGAGGCGAAGCTGCTGCTGTACAAGGCCCCCAAAACGAGACCCTGCAGGCCAGCTGTTGTGTTGTGTTTTATTTTCCAGAAGAGAAGCACGCTCTGGTTCTTCAGGAACACGTGGCAGCTCACAGCTCTCACACCAAGGGTGGGTAACTCACAGGGAGGCCTTCATCTCATTTGAGCAGCTGCCTCAGAAGTTGCAGCAGAAGGAAGATGAACTCCCTGATGTGGGTCAGACTGGTACAGAAAGACTTTGTAACCATCTCTGATGCATCAAGCTTTTCTAGAAGTGCTCAAATCAACATCATAGAGCTTTTACTACAAAGCACTGATTATTTCTTGGTTTTCAAATAAATCCCCAATTCCAAAAGCATTCACGACTGCCAATTCCTGTGCACTGTGAAGCTGTCCTGTCTTCACTCGTGCTCTCAGTCATTACAGTGTTTGCAGGGGATCAAAGATCCCTAAGAGCAAAGAGAGCAATAAAAGGCAAACACTGACGATGGCAGAAGCAGAGCTGCTGGCTTTAAGGCACTCCTCATATCTGGTAAAATCAATTTCCCTGATGGCACAGACGTGGTCGACTCGGCAGGCGTCCCCACACAGGGTAAGGTCGTATTTGACAGAGTTGAACTCATAATATTGCTGCAGATACTTTGCATCCTTGGATATCTTTTCCAACACGGTCTGCATGGATTGTGTGGAGCCATCAGGCACCTGAAAGGCGCTCGTCAGCCGGTATTCCTCCTCCCATGCTGGGGCCACCAGATTGGCGTGAGTTAAGTTCAGGTAGTAAGTCACCACATCCTGCAGGGTGAGAGAGATGGAACCGAAGTCAAACCAAGAAAGGATCGGCCCTGGAGTGGAATGTTGGTTTAGAATATGGGATCTGCACCAAATAATGCACCTCCCTGCCCAGGAAGGAGTGCAGCTTTCCTTCTAGCAAGACGTAAAGCCATGGATAGATGATTTAGGTGAGAGCCTCCACAAAGCAGCAGCGTCTAATTAAATCATTCAGCAATTAAAGGGAACACAAATAAATTTCTAGAGAGTTCTGATTTTTTAGACAGGGTTCAACAAGTTCATCAGTCCCCAAAAAGAAATCCTGCGATCCACTCTGCCTGCATGTTGAGGTGTCAAAGTGCCAAACCAAGCCTGC